CGCTGCGCGCCCGCCGGCGGCCTGGGGGTGCCCCGCTGCTGTGCCAGCTCTCCGGCCCGCTGGGCCACGGAGGAAAGCAGGGGGAAGCTCACCTCTGGGCTTTTTTGTTGTATTTTTTTTTTTAATTTACTTGGGCAGAAAAGGCCAGGTTCCAAAAATCAGACTGAGCAAAGCTGAGTTATCAAGTCTGGGCGGCTCTGAAGTATTGCCCCTCCCAGACCCATCCGTCTGGGGCTTTGGGTTCCCTCCCCAAACCCAGGCAGGCATCTGCAGTGCGAGCCCCAGGTCTGGAGGCCTTGGGGGTCAGCTACTCCCTGTGTCTCTAGTTGCAGCAAGGGAGGTTTAGGTTGGATAGGAGGCAGCATTTTCTCAGGAGGAGGGTGGTGAAGCGCTGGGACTGGTTACCCAGAGAGGTGGGGGAATGGTAGGAAGCTAGAGTTGGAAGGGACCTCAGGAGGTCATCTAGTCCAGTGGCTCCCAACCCCGGGTTGTGACCCAAACGAGGGGAACGGGGGCAATGCCAGGGGTGCCGCACAGAAAAGACGAGCCGCGCTGCGTGCCAGGAGCTCTCCCAGCAGCAGCAGGGCATGGAAGAAGAAAGTTGGGAACCACTGATCTAGTCCAACTCTTTGCTCAAAGCAGGACCGTCCCCAACTAGATCATCCCAGTCAACAGTGGGGATGCCACGGGGATGCATGCGCACCCCCTAAGAGCGCTGGTGCACCCCCCAACAGCCAGCGCTTCCTGCTTAGGCAACGGGCGGGGGGACAGGCAGGAGCGCTGGTGCCCCCCCATCCCCCAAGCGCCAGCTGGAGAGTGGGGGTGCCAAGAGGGGTCGGTGCAATCAGCTGCAAGGGACACCCTGGTCAGTATGATTGGTCGCAGGGGGACCCCCCCAGTCACTGACTGGCCTGGGGGCGGGGGGGGGGGAAGCTCCTCCCGACTCAGGAGACACCAGTCACCTGTGCCAGCCAAGCTTTTGCCTAGCCAGGTTTTGAAAACCTCCAAGGATAGAGAGTCCACCACCTCTCTGGATAACCTGTTCCAGTGTTTTACTACCCTCCTAGTGAGAATTTTTTTCCTAATATCCAACCTAAACTTCCCTTGCAGCAACTTGAGACCATTGCTCCTTGCTCTGTCGTCTGCCACTACTAAGAACAGTCCAGCTCCATCCTCTTTCAAACCACTCTTCAGATAGTTGAAGGCTGCTATTAAATCCCCTCTCAGTCTCCTCTTCTCTAGACTAAATCAGCCCAGTTCCCTCAGTCTTTCCTCATAAGTCATGCACCCCAGCCCTCTCACCATTTCTGTTGCCCTCCGCTGGATTCTCTCCAATTCGTGCGCATCCTTTCTGTAGTGGGGCTCCATCCTTGGAATTTTTTAAGACCCGGCTAGACAAAACTTTGGCTGGGATGATCTAGTTGGGGCTGGTCCTGCTTTGAGCAGGGGGTTGGACTAGCTGACCTCCTGAGGTCTCTTCCGACCCTAATTTTCTGTGATCTTAGCCAAAAGGCCGAGAATCTCTAGACTAAACCTGGTGAATTGTCTCTGCACAGCAGCGCCACCATTGCATGGCACCCTTTTTTGAGAGGCTGTCCAAGCCGCAGTACCCTAGCTGAGAATCAGTGCCCTGCAGGGATGGTACGATGGTTGCAAGGGGAAAGCTGTGTGGACACTCCACTATGCCAGCCTTCCCAGCTCCCCAGGCTCTTCATTGCTCGCTGTGCCCAACGCTACTATCTCCCAGCCCCTTGCCATGGCCCACTTAACTCTTCTCTCCTCTCCTGCCATGCAGTCCTTTGGTAAACACTGCTTTTTCAGTCCCCAGTTTGCAGCCTTCCCTCCAGCATATTCCTTTTGTCCCCTCCTTATGCACCCAGCAACACACACCCATTTATTTACTTGACTGAAACCAGTTAACGTGCAAGGATAATATTCTGCCACTAGATGGCTCCTTGTTCTAAAGTTCTAGGCTGGTGTGATCCTTGGTAAGCAACACAATTGCACAGCTCTATCTGTAAATGAGTGAAACTTTTGGTAGCTGTTTTGTTAATAAGCAGTGGGAGTGAGGTACGTGGATGCTGCAAGAAATGCAACTCCCCCAGAGGGAACGCAACTTTTCTCTCTTGCTGTAGAGGAGGATGCGAACCAGTGGCTTGAAGTTGCAGCAAAGTAAGTTTAAGTCGGATATCTGGAAAAACTTCACTGTTAGAACCGTGAGGCAGTGGGATAGACTGCCCAGGGAAGTTGTGGACTCTCCATCACTGGAGGTGTTCAAGAAGAGGTTGGAAAGCCGCTGGTTGGGGATGATTTAGGCGTATCTATGCCCATATTGTACCCTAGGTATTTCCCATGCTTCTGGGCTTTGCTGGTTACCCCCGACCCCTCCCTCCTTTTCTGCTTATGTGTCAGGGTGTTTTAAACTTTCCCAGAGGCACTGGGTATTGGCTATAGCCACAGCTGGGGATTTTGACTGGGATGTGCCAATGTTTCTACTGTGAGCAAAGCTGGAGGTTCCTGGCTAGGGAGTCTTGCTCCTCTGCTCAGGTTCAGACCGATTACCATAGTTTGGGTCAGCATGGCCTTCTACCTAGGACCTCTTGAGTATATACTGACATAACATTTTATAGAAGCAGGACACTGGTTGTTGTGGTTCCCCTGCTTTACCTGCTATAGGGTGTTAGGTCTATTGTGTCAAGGTTGACGGCAGTCTTACGTAGAGTTTAGATTATGGTTTGTATGGGATGATTTGGATAGGGATGGTCCTGCCTCAGATAGGGGGTTGGACTAGATGACTTCTGGAGGTTGCTTCCAGCCCTACTTCTCTATGGCTCAATGTAAACTAATTTGCAACTAGGTAGCTGAGATACAGATAGTGCAGCAACAGCTGCACTGAGATGCAACTGCCCAAGGAGCTGGGGAAAATAAGGAATTCGCTCCCACAGAGCCTCCTGAGGCCACAATTACAATGCTCTCACTCCCTGACTGACTTGAAGTTAGGTGCCTTATGCATATAACCAGAGCAGGCCTTAGGAAAAATGACACCCAGTGCTCCCCTTCCCCCAAAGTCAGCAGCACTGCTGCAGGCAGAGCAAGAGGCAGGTGGGCAGGGGTACAGAGCGCAGTCCAGTGGGGAGGTGGAGTGGCATGGTGCATCAGGTGGGCATCATGATGCATCAGGTGGCCCTGTCTTCAAACAAAAAAACAAAAAAAAAAACCCCATCACTGACAGCTAGTGCTAAAACTGCATTTCTCTCCATCTCTTAGACCTTCAAGTTTCTTACTTGAGCACTCTTCCTCCATGCAATGAGCAGGCTGAGAAGGGAAAACCATTCTACAGTGTAGAGGCAGAGAGATGACAAAATTAGGTAAGGTTTATCATGCAGCCAGTATATTATATTGTATATATGGGATTGTTAATGCCAAGAAGTCAGAGGCACTGTAGGGAGAGAGCTGAATTAGGATATCTGGGAAAGCAAAGTTTGGTTCAAAACAAAGAATTATGGTGCCAAAATATATATATCTCACAGTTAAAGCTGTCCAGAAATGCCTCATGCTCTTTTACAATGGTGAAATGCTGACTGAATAAAATGAATAATGGTTTGTAGTCTTGTAAAATAGAAAAAAAAAACCTAGTATTCTCTGAGATGGATGTGATGCTATGACCTGGAAGTGCAGCATGACAGTGTCATATTGTGACTGAGCAATTTCCTTACTAAGGGCTTGGAAGGCAGTTTATTCTGTTTCTTTGAAGTAGATAAGCCTTCTAGGGGAATCACTGACCAGCTAAACTGGTGATGTGGACAGCAGATTGGCTGCTGTGTGTCAGTAGGGACTTGTGGGAGCAAGGTCAGCAGACTGGAGCAGGTGCACCTATGCCTGCACATGCCCAGCCTGGCTCCTCCTGAGCAGTGGCTAGAGGCAGGAGGCAGGCTGGGCTGGGCTGGGCATTGCTCCTTCTGCCTGTGGCAGGGATCAACTGGGGTGGGGAGCGGGGAGGGAGCTGCAGTGCATGGGCTGCTCACATATGTGTTTGTATGCGTGTGTTTGGTGCCCCCCTGACCACAGCACCCCAGGCAGTCGTTCATGTCGCTCACCCCTAAGGCCAGTTCTGCATATAACTGCACTGTGCACAATGGATAGAGAAACGTGTGCAAGAAGCATTAGCTTATCTGAACC